TAAACCCAAACCACAGCACTATGCTAGCTTCTATGAAGAAAATTAGCTCTACCCCAGCCGAAACCAGGACACTTAAGCAGCTCAAAAACTTGAAACCCTTGGAAAGGTTATGCTGAAGTTAGAGAAGAAGATATTCCTGGGCAGAAATCCAAAATCAGAAGAAAGGTCCAGCCCCTTAGCATGGACCTTAGCAGGACCCCCATGCATGGATCCGAGACAGAAAAGCTCACTGTTCAGTAGAGGAAGAGAATTTACCTGATCTGTGATATAATCCAACAGGAAAAGTCTGGCTGTATCATAGAATCATCGAATCATTTGTTTGGAAACGACCTTTAAGATCATTGAGTCCAACCATACCTGTCCCCTACTAAACCATGTCCCTAAGCACCTCGTCTACCCATCTTTTAAATACCTCCAGGGATGGTGACTCAAACACTTCTCTGGACAGCCCATTCCAGTGCCTGATGTCCCTTTCAGTGAAGAAATTTTTCTTGCTATCCAGTCTAAACCTCCCCAGGTGCAACTTGAGGCCGACTCCTCTTATGCTATTGCTCGTTACTTGGGAGAAGAGACCAATATCCACCTCTCTACAATCTCCCTTCAGATAGTTGTAGAGAGCGGTAAAGTCTCTCTTCAACCTCCTGTTTCAATATGCCATTATCCCTGTCTCTCTTCCCCATCAAAACCCAACTTTTCCTTCATAAAATTAAAATAGGAGCCATATTCTAAATAATAAAACAGGATGTCTTTCCCACAGAAAAAAAATCCCATGGGTCATAAACCTAAAGAACTCATTGCAGAAGTATGCTTTGAAGGCTAAAAGTTTACATGAGCATGAAGGGAGGACAGACAACCACATAAAAAACCCTCAAACAAACAAACAAACAAAAAAAACCAACTCAAGGTTACTAAATACCAAGAAGCAAAATCCAGTGAACCGAAACAGTTGGAGTCTCATTCTTGAGGCATCCACCAATGGTTAATGCTGTAAGCAAAATACTTCACTAGCTGGACCTTTGGTTTTACCTGAGCTCATTATAGGTATGTCCTTACATCCCCTCATTGAACTCAGTGCCACCACTGAGGTGACCACTCTCTGCCTGGCCAGCTGATGGCTTCCACCGAAGTACTTGTGGTCAGTACTGAAAATTTCTGTTTCATCATCATCCTCCCATCTCCTTCCTGCACTGGTCCCTGTTGTAGTCTTAGACAGCAAAGCAGCCAAAAAAGCTCCAGAAATAAGTGCTGTTGCTGTGGCTTTGCCCAGGGACTGGGCAGCAGGGGGGAACCAGTACTGAAGTCACTACAGTCTTATGCTCGCAATCTGTAAGTGAGCAGCAGCAGATTACAGAGAGGTGGTCTAAGGGTTCAGCTGCCCGTGCAAACCCAGTTTCCAGCACAGTTCTGTGTGGAACAGTTTGCTGTTCACAACAGCTGAGCTAAGATTGATAGGTAGTCTAGAAGTAGCTCTGAGGAACTTTTACTGTAAATAGCCCTTTTTCAGCTTCTCTATGACTCAGTTACCCATTGGCAGAGGAAACTAGAAAAAAAAATGAGTAAGACTGGTTTTTACCTCAAGGGTACTGTGCAGATAAACATATTGAAAATGATGATGTGTACTCAGACACTGGAGCAATAGAGACCAAGCTAATGTCTTCTTTGTTTGCTTTTCATTGTCTTCTTACACTGCCCTCTTGATGAAGCTTTGTGCTGCAAATCTATTCTTTTATATACCTTCATTTGATTTGGTATGTGAATATATTACAGAAAGTACAGTCAGTACCAAACCGTAAAAGTCAAGCTTCCACAAGCCTCACTGCACCCACCTCCTACCAAAACAACTACCCTCTGGAGTTGGAATTAAATTAAGATTTTTAAAAAGGTGGGGAAAAGCAGAGCCTCTCCCTTTTTCTTTCTTTTAGACTCTACTGAGCCCAAACGACACTTTTGATGATTCGTACGAGTAGAAAAAATTCAATTTTCCAATGCAAACACGCTCAAATTTTTGCTCCAAGTCTCAATACCCATGCACAGCTGAGAATGACAAATGGATAATATAAGAGGCTTTTCAATTACACATAACAGATAACCAAACATTGTTTATGGAAACTGTGTTTAGTTGGAATAATAGGCAGGTAGATACAAATTAGATTGAGAACAAAATGCAAGTCTTTGTTGATTTCCTGTCACACAAAACTAATGAAGCATTCAATAAAAACATGCCATAGACTAATTCATAGTCAAAAGAAAAAAAACCTACAAATGCCTGAAGAAATCATCTTTTCCTTAAGTTTCTATCACGACCGTCAAACAAAAGCTGAATCTTAATGTCTTGAAAAAGAAAAAGCAATAGACAAAGCTGTTATATTGGTTCTCTGTTCTTTACATGTCAAAAATGAAGTATGCTATCTCAGACAGTAACGATTCCACACTAACAGAATATGAGAAGTACACAAACAGCACTTTAAAAAAATCACCTGATTCCTAAAGCTAGATATGAAATCTAAGAATGAACTATGTCAATTAAAAAAAAAACCATAAACCAAGTGGAAATGGTTAGCGACCCACTACACCACTTAGACACACACAAGTCTATGGGGCCCAATGCGATCCACCCAAGGGTCCTGAGGGAGCTGTCAGAAGTGCTCACCAAACCACTTTCCATCCTTTATCAGCAGTCCTGGATGACCAGGGAGGTCCCAGGTGACTGGAGGTTAGCAAATGTGACGCCCGTCTACAGGAAGGGCTGGAAGGAGGATCCAGGGAACTCCAGGCCTGTCAGTCTGACCTCGGTGCCGGGAAAGGTTATGGAGCAGATCATCCTGAGTGCCATGACATGGCACATCCAGGACAACCAGGTGATCAGGCCCAGTCAGCATGGGTTTATGAGAGGCAGGTCCTGCTTGACTGACCTGATGTCCTTCCCTAACAAGGTGACCCACGTACTCTTTGCTGGGTAAAAAATGGCTGGCCGGCCAGGCCCACAGAGTGATGGTGAATGGAGTTAAATGCAGTTGTTGGCTGGCCACAAGTGGTGTCCCCCAGGGCTCAGTACTGGGGCCAGTTCTGTTTAATATCTTTATCAGTGATCTGGATGAAGGGATCAAGTGCACCTTCAGTAAGTTTGCAGATGGCACCAAATTGGGTGGGAGTGTCAATCTGCTTGAGGGGAGAAGGGGTCTGCAGAGAGATCTGGACAGGCTGGATCGACGGGACAACTGTATGAGGTTCTACAAGGCCAAGAGCCAGGTCCTGCACTTTGGTCACAACAACCCCATGCAACGCTACAGGCTTGGGGAAGAGTGGCTGGAAAGCTGCCTGTCAGAAAAGGACCTGGGGGTGTTGATCTACAGCCAGCTGAACATGCATCGAGGCACTGGGGTGTGTCCAGAGGAGAGCCACAAAGCCGGGGAGGGTTCTGGAGCACAAGTCTTATGAGGAGCAGCTGAGGGAACTGGGGTTGTTTAACCTGGAGAAAAGGAGGCTTAGGGGAGACCTTATCGCTCTCTACAACTGCCTGAAGGAAGGTTGTAGCGAGGTGGGTGTCAGCAACAAGTGATTGGACAAGAGGAGTCGGCCTCAAGCTGCACCAGGGGAGGTTTAGATTGGACATTAGGAAATATTTCTTCACCAAAAGGGATATTAAGCATTGGAACAGGTTTGCCAGGGAAGTGGTTGAGTCACCATCCCTCAAAGTAATTAACGATGTGTAGTCATGGTGCATGGTTTAGTGGTGGAATGGCAGTGTTAGGTTAACAGTTGGATTCGGTGATCTTAAAGGTCTTTTCCAACCTAAATGATTCTATGATTCTAAAAGTCCAAGTTTAAAAATAGAAACCAAACAAACATCAACACATTTAAAGACTACTGAGATAAATTGCTCTTAAAAATTCGTTGGGACAATGTTTTTTGTTTTTATCAAGTAGTGATATGTAATGGTCATCAGAAAAAACAAATTAACATATTTCAGCAGTAAAAGAACCTTCACCTGTCTTTCCTTTGGTGTTTAAGTGATATAAAAATTGCATGGGCTGTCTTTGACATTCCAGTGAACCCTCCTCCACTTACCCAGTCACTGCATTAGAGGTGTTTTAACGCTAAGAGGTTCATACTTTAAATTGAAGTATTCCTTTCTCTAATATTGTCCCTCCCATTCAGCTTAAATCTATTGTCAAAGCTTCCAGTATAAAAATAAATTTTTTAGAACTAAAGTAGTACAGGTGGTCTGGTTAACTGCAGCTACAAACCTAGGATTGTAGGGATGCTGTCTCAGCCTGACATGAAGTCTTCACATACTCCATCACCTGTCCTCTGCACAAAAGGAAAAGGAAGCAGGAAAAATAAAAGAACTTCAACGTACTTTATCAAAGGATTACACTCTTCCCCCTTCCCGCCTCCTGCTCAGTACCAGAGACAGACATACTTCTGCTTTTGCCCTCTGACAGTCCCACTGAGGGCCCGAGGGCTCAAGATTTTTCTGAGAGCAAGGTAAAAAAAAAGAAAAGTAAAACCGCTGAAGTAACTACTCAATCTCTGAATCATCAGCTTGAGCTTTCAAAAAACTGAGAAATTATTTTTCTGTCTCAAAGGTGTAAAGGCTTTTACTGTGTCCTGGTTTCGGCTGGGATGGAGTTGATTTTCTTCCTAGTAGCTGCCATAGTGCTGTGGTTTGGGTTTAGTACAAGAAGAATGTTGATATCACCCTGATGGTTTAGTTGTTGCTAAGCAGGGCTTGCACCAGTCAAGGACTTTTCAGCTTCCCCTGCTCTGCCAGGTGCACAAGAAGCTGGGAGGGGGCACAGCCAGGACAGCTGACCCCAGCTGGCCCAAGGGCTATTCCAGATCATATGATGTCATGCTCAGTACCATAAGCTGCAGGAAGAAGAAGGAAGGGGGCAATGTTGGGTGGTGCTTAGTTGCCAGCTGGGGTTAAACCACGACATAGTGACACTTAGCCCTGCCATTATCCTTATTCGTTTGCACATTTTTATTTGTTAGCTTTAATTAGTATAAAAGGCATTAATATTTCTTCTATTACCTAGAGAGATAGGTATAAAACCGTATTTAGATCTTCAGGTTTCTTTAGAGATTTTTTTTTTTAATGAGAAATAAAAAGTCAAATTTATTATTTTATGTTAAATTTCAAATCAAGAAACTTCTCATGTTGGATTGATGGCAACCCTATGCAAATTATTTGGAAGTTTATGAGGTTTTTTTAAAAAAATAACTGCACTAACTAAACATGAAATTTCTGCTTGTCAACAGCAAACTAGAAGACCCACTCAACAGATCATCCCCTGATGTGAAACGTCATTTTGCTGTACTTAATGTGGCTCATGTTTTACAATAAAGTATTAAAACACAGCTTCCCCATCAGACAGTGAATGACAAGAGAAGCAAGCTATCCCAAAGAAGACTTCAGGTCAAAAGCTACCTGTCCTGTGCCATAGTCTGCCATAAGCAATGCTTATCATAAACGAGGCTAGAAGGAGAATAGGAGGTTCTGGAAGAGCAGAATGCAAAGTCCTAGGTACCTTCTAAGGTTTTGGCTCCTCCTAAACTTTGAAAGACTAGACCTGTCAAAAGCCTGCACTGTGCGTATCTTGAAGGCTTTATTGTTTTAAGTTCATATAATACTGAATATATTCAAGTTCTTTAATATATTTACAGATACTTTTTGACAAGTATAATGATCCTGATCTACATACAAATGTTGTCATTTATCTAAGTGTAATGTAAAATTAAGGTTATGTTTATTTTTTAAAGGCAATTGTATCAATGAAATTAGCTTTCATCGAAAACTACATCAAGATCAATTATTTTGTTGCCGGTACTCCAAAAGCAAAATTAGTAAGAAAAAGCAAAAATAAAGTTCAGGAATTCAAAGAAATGGGAGTAAATCATGGAAATAAAGTTCTTGATAAAAACTCATGCATTGAGAAGACTGTTGTTATGCATCACAGTACTTCCTTTTTGAAGGTGAAAATAATAATATAGTCATTTTGATAATGGATAATCATGTGGAAAATACTTTAAAAATGCCTCCTCTAGGTTTTCTTTGGTTATAATGTTTCCCCAAAGGTCCATGGAGAGGGAACACAGGGAAAACAAACATTAGGAATTAGGAAAGAAAAAGAAGAGGATGATTTGAGACAAAAAATCACATTTAAAACTCCTTTTGACCATTCTCATTCACACTTTTGAGGAAATTAATATACTTTTTACAAGATGACTAAATTCTCCTGACATACTATTGATTGAATGTGCTGAACATCGATAGAATATGTTTCAGTCACCTTGAATACCAGTAGCTGGGCAATGGTGCCTGACAATTGCACGACGTGCATGGAAAATGTCTCTCAGGGCAAAAGCAATGCCAGCTTTTCCTTTTAAAACTTCTCTAATCTTTCACATTGAATAGCAGTATTATACCTAAAACACTTGCAACAACATAACACAAAAATAGTAAATCCAAGTATTTAAAAATTAGTAAATGTTAACATTAATGTAGACCATGGAACTGCAGTTAACCCTTACACGTACTGAGTCACTCCTTAACTATGCTATTGGAGGCTTTAACAAAATTTCATATGCAATTCCTTTCAGAAAAATTGAAGTGGGCAAAAGAAGTTCTATTGCAAGAATTTGCATTAATGCACACATGAGTCATCTGAAATGAAAAGCCATTTAGACCAACAGTGCACTCCTGTGACATTTGGACTGACAAAATGAGCTGCAGCACTCCATATGGGCTGACACCAAAGGCTGACTGCTCTTAACCTCAAAGAAACATAAAAGGATCAGGAAACTAGGTGTCTGTTTTAAAGAAGTCTGAAGGAGACCATGGTCACATAGCTATCCTTACATCCTCGCACCTGCTTTTATTACTTTTTCCAGCCTGCCCTGGTGAGGGTGCCACACCACCCCCCCCCCGCAGGCTGGTGGCTCATGACTTTGCCCTTTCCCGCGCCTCATCAAGCAAGGGCACACCAGCTGGGCAGTCTCCAGGTCTCCTCCTTCTCTTCCCCTCACTCCAATACACTAGATACAACTGCTTAGTGCAAGAAAATAACAGCACTACCTTTGATATTACTGCAAGTATTTTTGATTAATGACAACTCAAGCTTCCCAGGCGTTTGGCACTGTAACCATACATTTATGCTCAACAGCGTTCAACTGTGAGGTGCTGGAACCAAGCAAGAGGTGATGGCTGGAGACAGAAGTACACCAGTGTTGCATCTTGGGCTTCTCTATCCTACTCCAAATTCATCCAAAAATATCTCTGCTGGCATTTTATTACCAGCTGTTAGCATCTCATCTGCTATATTTCAGTGTGCAAGATAAAACATGCTAACATCTGAAAAAGTGGGCTGAATCCTTTCTTGTTGGAGCTTTGTTTGACTATATGGCACTGCCTCAGGGATGAATTCATTACCAGTGTGCCCCATAAATTCCCTAAAACTTAATTTTATATTATACTCTGTATTTGCCAAGTCAATGAAAAAAAGCACATAACATCTTTGTGCAAATACTAGATTATTAGTAATAAAATTGCAAATATTCAAATATGCTTGATTTATCAGACAATCACAATTAGGTTGTCTTCTGCTTAAGAAAAAACTCTTCTCCTGCTAATGTCTTCTCTAGCCATCTGTCCCCAAAAGGTTATTGCTCATTTTCTGATGATAGAGTAGCCTAATAGTTGCCTTTTCTGCAAAGCTCCAAGTTTGCATAGCATGCTGAGAATGGCTTGGAATTAAAATCTGACTTAACAGATCTATTTTTAAGCAAGAATCAAATAGCAGGCTAAATCCACTGATTATGCAGTTGACTCTTACTTACTTGTTTCGTTAAAGGTAATGCCTACAGAATCTGAGACTTTAGTAAGTATTTAACATAGCTAATAAACTACAGTTGATGTGTTCCCTGTCTACTGGGTGGAAAAATTTTGCACACTGTGGAAATAGTATTTGTGTTTTTCCTGGCCCATCTGAGGTCCCCGTTTTCATGCACGCCTCTTCTAGTCAAATTTATTGATCAAAGCTCCTTCTTGAAAGCCTGGACTATTTACAGAGCTCTTTACTGCTACAATTTCTAGATCTCTTTCTCTCTTCACATGTGAAAATACTGTTTATTTCCAGGTGTGCTCTTCAGAATTGAAACACAGTGGGATGAAAACATACACAATATAAGGATTAAATTGGCTATAGTTTTGTAACCACAGAACTGGTAAAATCATTGTAAGAAGTTTGTCAGGTGACAATGTCCTTCTCTAATTACTTTGTATTTTCAACCTTCCAGCTAGAATTGT